CCGCCCGGTCCTCTCCACGCCTCCCCCCGCACCCCCCAGGGCTCAGTGCTCACCCTTGATCCATTCGGGTGTCACCACCTCTGACCAGAACCACTCTCCAGCGGACCACAGTGCTCCGCGCCAGACCACCCTGGGTGAGGACAAGGTCGGTTGCGGAACATGCAGCTGAGACTTTCTGGGAGCATGGAAGTTCCTGGCACATCACAGAGGTTCAAAGAGTGTTTGTGGAGTGAGCAGTCAACATTGAGGCCACCAGATGTACAGCCCCAAACTGTGCGGAGATGAGCTGAGTACACAAAACAATGACTCCTGAGGCCGGCTGGGGCCGGCCAGCCCTGAGATCAAAGGAGAGAGAGCTGCTGCTCAGCAGGGGTGACCCTCAGGGGCTCCAGGAGGGGGTCCTGCTGCATGGGGGCGGGGGTGGCGGGCTCTGAGCAGCAGGCTGAGCTGCTGTCAGGAAAGAGTATTTTTATCACCATTTCCCAGATGAAAAACTTAGGGCCAGGGAAAGGAGGGCATGCAGTTCCTGGGGCACAGCAGTGGGGGCTGAAAGGAATGTTAACACTGCTCCCCGTCTGGAGGTATCACTCTAAGTGAAACAAGCCAGTCAGAGAAAGACAAGTGTCACATGGTCTCACTCACATGTGGAATCTAATGAACAAAATAAATCGATGAACAAAATAGATCCAGAGACACAGAAGCATGGAACAGACTGATGGGAATGGGTGAGAGAGATTAACCAAAGAATTTGTCTGCATATATGCTCAACCCATGGACACAGACAATAGTGTGAAGGCCTTGGGGGGTGAAATGGTATGGGGTGGAAGGGGTCAATGGTGGAGGGTGAAGGGGACATCTGTAATAATTTCAATAATAAAGGTACATTTAAAAGAATACTTCTCCTGCCCTAGCCAGTTTGGCTCTGTGGATAGTCAGCCCTCAAACTAAAGGGTCCCAGGTTCGATTCTGTTCAAGTGCACATGCCCGGGTTGTAGTCTTGATCCCCAGTAGGGGATGTGTAGAAAGCAGCCGATTCTCTCTCATCATTGATGTTTCTATCTCTTTCTCCCTCTTCCTTCCTCTCTGAAATCAATAAAAATATATTTTAAAAAGTATTTCTCTTCCCACCTTCTAAAATCTTCAAGGTTGGACTACTAATCAAATTAACAGACAGATTAACAGGCGAAAAATCAATGTTTTAATACATGTTCATGGGAAATTCACATAGGCATGGAAATTCCAAAGATAGTGAGGCAACATGGGTATAGAAGACAGTTTTGGACAAATTAGAAGAAAGGGGGAGGGGAAATGGGGTAACAGACCTCAGAAGTGAGAGTGGGCGATTTATAGGCAGTTGAGGAAGAGCAAACACACCTGGCAGGAAATTTCATGCTAGGCAACTCAGAAACCAAGGGACATGGGGCGACGTACAGGTGAAAAGGGCAGAGAGATTCTGGAAGAAAAAGAAGGGGAAGTCTCTTCCCTTATTTTCAAATGGGAAAGCTTAAGAAATACAGACTTTATTTTCTAGAGCAGTTTTAGGTTCATAGCAAGATTGGGCTAAGAGTGCAGAAAGTTCCCATCCCAGAAACATTTAGTGTGACTAAAACCAAGTGAAGAATACTCTGTCTGTGGGTGAAATTGTAGGACAGCTCTGCATTGCGTGCTGCAGGGCATCACGTGTCCCTGGCCCCCGCCCACGAAAGGCCTGCCTCTATAGCAACACCCTCAAATTTCTGAATGCTGCCAGGGGCCAGACTCTCCCCTGTGGGGTCTGAGTGAAACTGCTGGGCGAAGCCCGAGCTCACCTCCAAGTCCTCTGGGCGCAGCAGGGGTTCTCCAAGGGGTACTCGCAGGTGCACCCTCAGCAGATTGCATCCAGCTGCTCAACATCTGTCCATTGCACACCATCCATTTGGGTTTGCTCTGCTGTAAACTGCTTATTCATATTTTTTGCCCATTGCTTCTGAATCTTTTCTTATTGATGTATATGTGGGCACACGTGTGCGCGTGCGCGCGCGTGTAACCTGTTATCTGTTCCTTTGCTGTGTGTGTGCATTGTAAGAACCTTCTCCCAGTTCATGGCCTGGATCAGTGGCCTGGACCCATTTTTGTTTGTTTCTTGGGTTGGGCATGTTAATGTAAAAAAAACATTCAAACCGGTAAAGAATTTTTGTGAGTTTATTTGAGACAAACTGTCAACAATTGGCGGGAAGCAGAACCTCAGCGGATTGGGATAATGCTCCGGAGAATGGCGGGTTACATCTGTATTTAT